GTGCGCTACATCGACCAAGCTCTCAGACCCCACGTCATACCACATTTCGCACGTCACCGGAACAACATTTTCCAACATAATAACGCCCGGGCCCATACTGCCAGAGCTACACGGGACTTCCTACAGCAGAACGGTGTCAACATTATGCAGTGGCCAGCCCTTAGTCCTGATTTAACCCAACTGAACATATTTGGGATGAAATTTAGAGGAGACTGAATAACGTCATACCAAGGCCGAACACAGCCGATTTATTGCGCCAAGCCTTTCTCAGAGTGTGGTTCAAGGTGTCAATGGCCTTCATCAATCGATTGGTGCACTCCATGCATAGACGTTGTGCTGCAGTTATTGCCGCTCGTGGTGGTTACACTTGATACTGAAGTCAAGAGTCTGTCTGGACTGCAAACGTTCACGTAATGTCTTGAAATTGTGCTGAGTTATTGATTGATGTGTCAAGGTATTGTACACACAAAAATATTTTGGATCCGCTTATTATGTTCTATTTCTGTAATGATTTGATTACAGTGCCTATCTAATTTTGAATTCGTACTGACGTTTATTTGCTGCTGAGTATATGACTGATAGTGATATTCATACTATGGGTGACTTTACCGGTCGTGTTGGAGAAGGTAATCAGTCACTTGACGCTCCAGATGATAGAATTGATCACTATTTTCCTGAAGATGAATCAGTGCCTACATACGCAAGGTCAACGCAGGATACTATTATAAATACATTTGGGAATTTAATTTTGAACCATTACATCTACTTCATCCGTATTAACCTGTATTGTATGTTCTGATTATTTGTATATAGAATGTATGTATGAGGATGGGCGTGTATAAATTGTATTGTATGTATGAAACTGTATGCATATAGGCCCGGTCGCCTTTGTACGGAAATAAAGCTTTGACTGATTGATTGAGATTCCACACAAATGTTCTACCCAGACTTCAGGCTGTCTATATGGGGAAGCCACCCAAATGTTCCACCCAGACTTCAGGCTTTTTATATGGGGACACCACCCAAATGTTCCACCCAGACTTCAGACTGTCTACATGGGGATGCCACCCAAATGTCCCCCCCAGACTTCAGACTGTCTATATGGGGATGCCATCCAAATGTTCCACCCAGACTTCAGACTGTCTATATGGGGATGCCATCCAAATATTCTACCCACACTTCAGACTGTCTATATGGGGATGCCACCCAAATGTCCCCCCCAGACTTCAGACTGTCTATATGGGGATGCCGTCCAAATGTTCTACCCAGACTTCAGACTGTCTATATGGGGATGCCATCCAAATATTCTACCCACACTTCAGACTGTCTATATGGGGATGCCACCCAAATGTTCTACCCAGACTTCAGACTGTCTATATGGGAATGCCACCAAAATGTTCTACCCAAGACTTCAGGTTGTTTATATGGGGACACCCCCCAAATGTGCCACGCAAACGTCCTGATACTTATTGTTGACGCCACCCACATGTGCCACAAGGGACATATTGACTGGTAATTCCTGTTCCACCAAAACGACTTGTCCGTCCCCCGTTATCCATCAAATGTATTAGAATGTTTTCGTTTCACCTTCCTTTACATTAAATTAAATACGTGACCTTCCCAGGATCATTACGATATGTGTACAATTGTGTTATGTGAAAAAGGTGATATAGCAACAACTAAAATTGTGACCAATAAATTTTTGATTAACAGTCAAATTAGAATAAAAATATATAGAACACCCACTTTCATCAAACTGCTCACACTTATCCACCACTTGTCGAACTACACTTGTCTAACATTTGTGAAACACTTGTATAATCATTGTCTAACATTTGACAAAATGTGTAGAGGTTGCATGTCCTAATTTACAATTCATCAGTTAAGAAATATACTCCTCTCATTACATTTTCATTTATTGAAATTGCAAATCATGGAATGATGCAATAGAAAGGTGAAACATATGTACACACGATGAACAAAGTGAAATGAAATGATATTGAGCAATAATAGACTTACAAACCATCAAAAGCATGTACCCGTGAAACAGTCGTGCAAAATGTGCTTCATTGATGGAGCAAAATGTTAACATTAAGGTTCAAGTTAGTTTTGGACAGTGAAGCAGTGTTCAGTATCGCGAATGACCACCTTCAGCACAAATGCAAGCTTCACGCGTCTTTGCATTGACCAAAATAGCCTTTAAAGTTGGTGTTGTGGAATGTTCTGCCATTCTTTCTGTAACGCCTGCTCAAGGTCATCCAGAGTCTGGGGGTGAATATAGAGACCGTAAACACGACTTCCAATAATGTCTCAAGCATGTTTAATGGGATTCAAATCAAGTGCCCTTGCAGGCCAGTCCATATGTGTGATGTTGTTGATCTAAGTAACATCGTTAACAACTCTTTCTCAGGCATTACCATCCTTGGAAGGGCATTATCATCCATAAAATTATGTTAGGGCCCGCTTGTTGTACTAGAGGAATTACAGGACTGGTAAGTTTACACCGATCAGGGTGCATGTGTGAAGAGTGGAGGACATTCATGCCACACACTTTGCATGTTGTTTCTGAGGATGGTTGTGTTCGGGTGATGTTGTCAGTGTTATCCGATAAATCAATTTGACAGTCACTAAAGGTTATGTATTCTTTGAATATTTACCTTTCAGTAACATGTCGCTATCGAGACAGCAAAAATCGCTATCGAGATTGATAAAGATATTACACTGAAAATACTTGTTTTGTGAGGAGTATATCTAAAGGTTGCAATCTAATGCATACTATATCAACACACGCACGTTTTCCAAGGGCACTCCTGAATTTATGATGTTTTACATACATTTGTGTGCTTGTGTGTGTGTTGAGTGAGTGAGTGAGTGTGTGTGTGTGTGTGTGTGTGTTTGTGTGTGTGTTTGTGTTTGTGTGTGTGCGGTCTGTTGTTTTGTTATTTTGTCAGTGTACGGGAATCTACACGCAGAGTGTTTGTCATGTCCTCACTGTTACGCTCGTTGTTAGAGTGTTCAGATCATATCACAACTGAAGCCAAAATCTCATCGTGTTCACATTCCCAACACCAAGTAGTAACTGTCTTGGTCGAAGCTCCATTGCCGACCTGGACTCACCAGATCGAGCATGCCCAACTACAGCCTCCTCCTCAAAATGTTCACCGTCTGTCCACACACAACAGAGCTGACGACTACTCATGCATGTAGATTGCAACGTTGATGATGTCATCCCAAGTCAGCGTCCTTGCCTATGACATGGAGTCAGTGATGTGTGTGTTGAACATGCAATCCACTTCACAATGCGCAGGTACGAAAGTCCCGAAACGTTTCAAGTAAAGTTCAACTTACCAGATTCTTTAACGTAGTATTTTTGTGATTTTACTTCATGGCTAAATTCGACTACAATCGCCAGTGGCGGAAGGGGTGATATAAATCCAGCTTGGGTCCATGCAGGTAGCAAAGGTACTGTAAGTTCCCATGGTCCATAGTATGGTGATCTACCTTCAGTTGTTGGCGACCAATAGCCCATCTTTACATAGTAGGGGCGGTGGGGTAGCCTAATGGTTAAAGCGTTGGCTCGTCACGCCGAAGACCCGGGTTCGAATCCCCACATGGGTTTAATGTGTAAAGCCCATTTCTGGTGTCCCCCGCCGTGATGTTGGTGGAATATTGCTAAAAGCGGTGTAAAACCAAACTCAGTTAGTCAGTCTGTACATTGTATTGTCCAAAAACAGTTTTCTACTCTTAAAGATATATGCTAGCTAATTTTAATTCATTTTGTGCTTAGCTATTAATTTAACCGTACTTCGTTGACAAAGGTTATATATATCATATATATGTATTATTAGTCATGATATGGCTGAAATATTGCCGATGTGACTTTAAATCTCAACTTACTCACTCACTCACCATGTGCAGCAACAATCTTAACACCAGGAATCATGTTTAACTGTAAATTAAAGCAGCCTGTAGGTGTAAGGTTAAGAATGACACTTGGCTGTGTTCTGATCACACCACGACTGAAGAGATATTAATGGCACTATGTCAATTGTTTGTTCATGTTTTCGATGCTGGGTAGTTTAGAATTACCATGTCCATACGTTTTCCTTCCTCACAAAATGCATTGGACGCATAATCGCATCAGGATATCGATCACCTATGAGTAAATAATCAAGAAGTGGAACACACCCTGAAAACTTAGTTTAACGAACTGTAATCGTCACCGTGGAAATAGTTCACTTTGACAACAAAGTTGCTGTGGTCATTAGGTTCTTGTGTGCTCTGGAATGTCCGTACAAGCAAACTGATGACGTTTAAGAGGGACATTAGGTTCCCATTGAATAATTAGTTATAAGTACAAGTTGCCGTGGACAACAGCAAACCTGCTTGGGCAACGTAACACAATATTGTCTCACTCACAGTTGCACATCGTTTACAAATGCCAGTTTGCAGTGAAAATGTTTATTCATTTCTTCAGGATACAGTGTCAATTTTTTCTCATCAGTGCAACAAACTGAAAATGTTTTCAACATTTATTGGTATTTCATCTAAATCGTTTTAAACGTTTACTTTTTAAAACATATATTACAGTGGGCTCTTTTATTGGACTAAACAGTCTTAGTGAGACTGGAAATTTGTCTACTGTCTACCGTGTAGGTTATAACTGTTCAAACAAATTCCATACATTTACAAATGTGAATAAATTTAACATCTGACAAACGTAATGACAGTGATACATTTTGATACATATCAGTTGTAAGATATTCCAACCATCACAACTCACTCACCCACTCACCTACTCACCCACTCACTCACCCACTCACCCACTCACCCACCCAAACACTCACTCGACCACCCACTTACCCACCCACCTAAACACCCACTCACTCACTCACTAACCCACTCACCTACTCACCCACTCACTAACTCACCCAATAACCCATTCACCCACTCACTCACTCACTCACTCACCAACCCACCAACCCATCCATCTACCCACCCACCTACCCACCCACTCACTCACTCACCTACTCACCCACACACTAACTCACCCACTAACCCATTCACCTACTCACTCACTCATCCACCCAAACACCCACCCACCTACCCACCCACCTACCCAACCACTCACTCACTCACTCACAACTGTGCGGGCAGTCTCAGACGTTGAAACTGAATAAATTTGACATTTGACAAAAGTATTGACAGTGATACATTTTGATACATATCAGTTGTAAGATATTCCAACCATCACAACTCACTCACCCACTCACCTACTCACCGACTCACGCACTAACCCATTCATTAACTCACCTACTCACTCACTCACTCACTCACTCACCCATTCACCCACCTACCCACTCACTCACTCACTCACTCAACCATTCAACCACTCACTCACCCACCCACCTACCCACTCACTCACTCACCCATCCACCCACCAACCAACCTACCCACCAACCTACCCAACCACTCACTCACTCACTCACTCACTCACAACTATGCGGGCAGCCTCGGAGGTTGAAACTGTGAATAAATTTGACATCTGACAACAGTAATGACAGTGATACATTTTGATACATATCAGTTGTAAGATATTCCAACCATCACAACTCACTCACCCACTCACATACTCACCCACTCACTCACCCACTAACCCATTCACCCACTCACTCACTCACTCATCCACCCAAACACTTACTCACCCACCCACCTACCCACCCACTACCCACCCACTCACTCACTCACTCACCTCGGAGGTTGAAACTGTCTTCATGAATTGGCCAACCTTTTCCTGTTATGTATCGACAGAGGCGCGATTATATAAATAAGGTGCTACTTTCAATGTGTAGGCAAAAGTTTTAACTATATTTGTTGACACCAGTGCCAACGAAAGCGATATCCGTTGGAAATGTGTCGACTTTTGTTAATGCAAACATTACAGGAAAAAGTGCAATGTCTGTAATGTTTTATAAAAGATGACAACAGGCTTTCGACCACAAAATTCAGAAATGGCATCATGAGATATTGAGGCGATAACGCTTATGAGTTTGGGGATAAACAGTTTTAGGAATAAAAACCATGCATAAATCGGCCATGGCTCGCTAAACACAATGTTTTGAGTTTTTTTTCTGTTACAGGATATTAATCATCTCAAAATACACAACGTGATATCCTCTAATCATCGTGCAGATGTATATGATATAAAACTTTGTGGTTAGATTCTCCGAACACCTCTTAGATTAACAGTGTTAATAAAGGAAGGCGAGGACCTTTAACCTTGAAATACATGGCATGAATGAACAAGTTACACGTGTGACTACGAATCATGTTCAGATGAGAGGTCGTATCTTCATGGATGAAGATTTTATGCCTGAAATTCCATGCCAGGATATTGGTTTGCTGTACAAACGATTGAGGTCTGCTTCGACGCAGGTTTTGTACCACCACGCCCCTCTATTGATGTCTGCACAGCTACCGCTATACGTATCCAGATCTAGATTCCGTGCGGAGAATCGGGTGTTGTTGCTGTACAACATTTTGTCTCCTGAAAATAACCGAAGACTAAGTCGTAGTATTTTGTACGAACTGTTTAAACATTGTTAACTGGAACGGTCATAGTGGTGTCTTGGTTTATAGTGCATTTTAGATAGCTGTTGAAAAAACCAACATATATATCAGGAAGAAATAAGGAAGAGTTTGACTATGTGGAACTTATGCATCTCCCTTAATGCATAATCACTAACATACCTATACAATGCAATATCTAGCCAGAGGCAATTCTTTACTTTAGCTTGTACCACATCTTGCCATGTGTTTAAACTAACCAAGTGACTTGCATGTACTTGTATCTGTGACGGTTGTCATCAGCAGAGAGGGGTATATTCAACGATTGGCAAGCAGTTGTTACCATCACCAGGTAATGACCCAATTTAAGAGTGAATCGCACTCTGGTATTTTCCTATTATAAAACAGTCGGACGGGGCTATAGTATATTTGAGGTTTCGTGAATATTAACCTTTACTTCAAACATTCAAATACAGTTGTCAAAACTGTTTGATATGCTCACCAGCTGTTCCTGAGTAGTTCCCTATGAACAGGGTGTAGAACTCGGACATGCTGCCCAGATGGAAACTGTTGTACTCGGCATAGAAGTGACTATCCGATTTGGTCACCAGGTCGATCCGCAGTTCATAGGTTTTCTGAATCGTGAGTCTATGTATCTTCTCATTTCCTGAAATATTACCATAGTGTACATTCTCCAAAAGTTCCTGAGACTCCAATCACACACTGTATGGGATCAAAACTCAACCATCATTGATAATAAAGTGACATGCCCGTGCCCATGAGGCGAGAGAACGAGTACCACAAGGCACTGTGCATGGCCAGAATTACACTAACACCAGAGTAGTCTCGCTTTCATTCATCAATTGTGCCATGTGGGGAATCCAGTCCATGTGTACAACGTGACGACGAAACAGGTCTAGCTGTTCACATCCCTGCATCATTTGTTGTCAAATACTCAACATTTGAACAACAGAATGAGTAAGATGTCACGGATATAGGAAATAATAATGGTTCTGAAGAAGAATTGATATTTGTACGCACCAAGCCAGAATTCGTGGGTGAGGTTTCCAAATTCGTCCATGTATTCAAACCAAGTTCGAAAGACCCGTCCAGTCGCCTTTGAAACACCTGTTCATTGAAATGCAATGTCACATTATGCTAATATTGAGATGTATGACATATCAACATTACACATTTGAAGGAAGAATTATCATGCTGCAGATATTGCCTGAAACCATCCTCCGCCATGTTGAGTCATGTCACAGTAGGCCAAAAATGACCCCTTCCCATCTGTCGGTTTGATTCGGTAAACTCCGTCCTCAGCTTCGGGAAACTCATCCAGGATGCTCCTACAATCTGTTCAATATGAAGTGTATCCGGGTTATTTCCGAAACAATGGTAATTTGTGTAATTTCTCATTTATATTATGTCTCTATCAGTATCAACATATGTCAACCACATTGAATAGGATATGTTGTTCTGGAATCAATCTTTATTAATTTGTATCTTTAAAATCAGCATCGACGCAAAATCCTCAACCATTTGCTATTTTAACAATACTCCTTCCCTACTCGATTTCACATCACGTGTATAAAACACACGTTTGATTGAAACGACTGGTTTGGCGACAGCAGGATCTGATATTCCAAGAACAAGACTTCTTTCCCAAATGGTTTAGCTTTGGTAGGCATTTTAAGTAAAGAAATGTACAAACGTAGGATACTACATCATATGTAGCACGTGTGCGATCACACAGAAAGCACGGTAGAAAAGTGCATGCTAAGTTAACACGAGATAGCATGTGCGCCAACACATAGAAAATACGAACTGAAAATGTATTTCAAGTTTTAGGAACAAGAGAGAGCGGGGAATGGGACGCTTTTCTACGGCTTGGTGTGCAGTACACAAAGATTATGACATTTTGGAGGTGATTGTATCCAAACGGCCTCAACCAGTTGTTCAAAAGCATGGATATCGGGGTGTCAGAAGACCAAACTAATAAGGCTTCAGAGTTAACAGTGTCAAAGCTTTCTGTCCTACTACGTACTCACCACTGCGCATGTCCGTGTTCCCACAGAGTTCATCCCTGGAGGCCAGGAAGTTATCCATGGATGTCTTAAAAGTATCGTAGGTGTCCAGAACCTGACAGTAGTCGCCGGATATGTTAGCATATCCACACGCAACCAGCAACACTACACACAGACACAGTCGGAACACCATATTGTTGAACGAGTCTTTTGTCTTTACGGACTGTATGTCATCCAAGTGAATGTGTGCTTGAGTGTGGAGTACTCTATATTTGTAGGCAAACTTCACTGTCAATCAAACTACGCTGCACTTGTAACAGGAATTTGACTAATGCGATGGTCACGCTTGTATTATTCCTATGTTGCATTACATGCCGAGAGGTACTTGTACATTGACCTGACAACCATACCAAGTGAGGAGGTCTTCCGCTGTAACTGAAGAAGGGCATCCGCCTGGTCCTCTCTGGTATCCTTCTCCTCATGGTGCACACCCTTGTTTACCACTTGTCTAACTATACTTGTCTAACACTTGTATAATCATTGTCTAATATTTGACAAAAATGTTTAAAGGCCGATCGTCGTCCGTGGATCGCATGTCCAACCACAACGTATACTTGGTCGTAAGGTATTGTCCTACTGTCACGGAGACGAGACCGAGATCCTTGACGATCGCGTTCATTTCCGGTGGACGCTTGATCGCCGGCAATTTTTTAATCTCATCCCACTGCTGGTAATGCCTTGACTAAAGAGTTGATTGGGCACACCCTCAGCGGTCACTTCCACTTTGATAATCTCAGGGTTCCAATATTTTGACCTCGCTTGCTGGGAGCACAACGCGAAGGCAGCATATTTCTTGGATCTGGTCAGAAGACAAATCCCTTTTTGGTGGCATGGTTGTGTTATTCCTGGGTATATATATCCCATACTTCCATATGTCTATATGGAAATCCCAATCCTGTCCCAGTCCTCTCCCATATTTCCTGGGAAATCCCATCCTCTCCCAATCCTCTCCTAATCCTATCCCAATCCTATCCCATTTTTCCCCAGGAAAACTAGCCAAACTCCTAACAAACTCCATGCAAAGTGATAGCCTGGCTCGATATCTCTGACCTACTTTCTGTATAATGCTGTGTGTGTGGACTCTAGTCAGCTCAGTGCTTAAACATCCCTGTGGCAGAGAATGGAATGTGCGAGGGCGTTCAAACAATGTGGCCCTTGGGAACTTACCATTGTAAGTGGGTATTGTGGGTATGACCTGCGGTAAACGCTGTATGACTGAATATTGTCATAAACATGCCTAATGTGCAAGAAGGGGTCATGTATGCGGAATAGGGGTCAAAGGCCAGTATTCTTTATGCAAAGCACATGGGGCTGACAAAGTAAGAATGAAACCTATCAATAAAAGGCATGCAGATCTTATTAGTGAATTTAAGAAACTCATGAAGAATAACGTATAAATAATATTTACTAGTGAAATTGAACAAATATCTTTTTTTCCTTTTTCTTTTGTTTGTTTGACAACACCATGGAAGTTCATACGGTATACAACTAATTAGAGAAACAAACTTCATATGGTAAACAACATGGCTACTGTCAAAGAACTGAAAGCTCTCACTAAAAGTTGTGGACTGACTGGTTATTCTCGCATGAGAAAAGACGAAATGCTGACCTTGCTGGACATTACACATGTTAAACCCCGATTATAAAAGAGTTCAAAGCTCTCGCGAATATTCGCGGAATGAAACATTATTCTCGTATGGGAAAAAGCCCAACTGTTAACCTTGCTTGGACGACACCGAGCCGATCGAATTGTGATTCATGCCGACAGACCACACTGTTGGACACTATCTTCGAGGATGGTGATTGATTCTAATATCAATACTGATAAAATCAAACCCTTAATCGACAGTAAACTTCATGAAGAATTAAACGATTTGAAAAGTATCAAATTCCAACTGACGATGAAAGTGACGCTCCAAAAGCCTCAGTCGGACGGGAGCGTGGAATACATCGAACCTTATTTCAGATGAAAACAGGAAGTCCTAATTCAACCAGAATCGATTGCATCCTCCATCGACACCTCATTCCCAAAAATACAAGAATCGTTAGAAAATGGACACATCAACGTTCAGGATGGGTGGTGGATACCGTCAACACTGTTTATCTTGACATAGCAAACCATTAAAAGGTAGATGGTAACTCCCAGTACCCAAGCATTTCAGAGATACACACGCCATCCTCAACCCCGAAACCACAGATAAGATTATGTTAATAATTATTGCGCAGTGGTGGCGGTCATAGCTGCCTCACACAAACCAAAAGGTAATCCATGCAGTCGTTCCAGCTACCCCACGATGGAGGCATCTGGATTCATCTGGTAGAACGCCTCACACCCATCTCCTACTGGATGAGATTTGAAAAGAAAAACAAGACGGACGTCAACGTGTTCGGTCACGAATGGGACAAAACTATCCCGCGCAAAATCAGCTCCATGTCCGATGATGTGAACACAATCAACTTATTCCTCATCGAATAAGGTGACCAGTATCACTACACGGCAATCAAAAGTTTGAGTCAACTGTTGCAGGACCAATCGCACCATGCCATAAAGAAACATTTTTTGCAAATGGCTCCACGCGAGCCAACCTGCTGGAATTACACCGGGAGGATTGCCCAGGTGTGGGAGAGATGGTCGTTCAAATCGACATGCCCAAGGAAAACGACAACATCTTAAAATTCATCCAGCATCAACATCAAATGTCCGTACCCTACGTGATCTACGCCGTGTTCGAAGCCCTCACGGTAGCGCCCTCCCCCAAACAAAGTTTCACTTAAACAACGCAGCAACATGAAGCTTGTGGGTTCGGGTACGTGGTGGTGAGATGTGATGGAAAAACAGAACCAGCGGTGATTTACCAATGTCCCAAGGCTGCTAAAAAAATTTCTTCAGTGTTTACAAAACGAAGAAAACACCATCAGAAACACGCCATATCACCGGAAAGTATCGAGGCGCCGCCCATAACTCGTGCAATTTAAAATTTAAAATTAATCACCCAAATATTCCCATTCCCGTGGTCTTCCACAATTTGAGAGGTTACAATGCTCACTTGATCATGCAAGCCATTTCCAAAAGGAACGGCGAAATGAAATGCATTCCCAATAATATGGAAAAATACATCTCCTTCTCGCCCGGAAAAATTAAGATTCATCGATAGCTTCCAATTTTTACAAGCATTGCCCGATAGTTTAGTCAAAGCAAATGATGACTTCGCCATCGATAGTTGGTCTAAGTTCGACGAGACCCAACTGCCTCACAAGATAAAAATTTTCAGTAGTTTGACGGAATCGATGATTACCGATGAAGATTACGACCACGCTCTGAATGTTCAGGAGAAACTGGACTGTAAACATTTAAGTGAATATCATTATCTCTACTTGAAAACTGATGTTCTATTGCTGGCGGACATCTGTTTCAGTTTCAGAAAAACATGTTTAAAACAGTACAGCCTGGATCCCGCCTGGTGTTACTTGGCACCAGGTTTCTCGTGGTATGCTCTGCTTAAAAAACAAGTGTAAAACTAGAACTCCTAACGGATTATGATATGCACCTGTTTATCGAGAAAGGAATGCACGTTGGGATTTCCATGGTATCAAAACGTTGCGCAAAAGCCAATCATAAATATATGAAAAACTATAATTTGAATCAACCTTCCAACCATCTCCTCTATCTGGATGCGAATAACCTTTATGGTTTGGCCATGAGTGAGTATATACCTATAGGAAGTTTCGAATGGTTTGACGATGAGATCGATATCATGAGCATCGCTCCAGATTCGAACAAAGGCTACATCTTTGAAGTGGACTTAGACTATCAAGCAGAACTTCATGCGTCTCACAATCATTATTGTCTCGCTCCTGAAAGACTTGTTGTTGATCAAAATTGGCTTTCACCTTATCAACAACAGTTGTTAGGAAACAATAAAGTAGCGTCCGTGGGAAAACTGGTCCCGAATTTGATGGATAAGAAAAGTATGTGGTTCACTATCGAAACCTGCAACTCTACCTGTCGCTGAGACCAATGTCCCTGGATGGAACCTTACATCCGCATGAATACCGAGTTGCGAAAAAAAAGCCACAAGTGAGTTTGAGAAAAATTTATACAAACTCATGAATAACTCGGTGTTCGGCAAAACGATGGAAAATTTGTGAAAAAGAGTGAATGTCAAACTCATAAGATCGAGTGAAGAAAACAAACTCAGATAATTAATCACTAGTCCAGCATTCAACAGAAGCAAACTATTCACGGACGATTTGGCAGCATTGCATATGAATAAAAGTCACATCAAACTCATTCAACCCGTCTACTGGGCATGAGTATTCTCGACTTATCGAAACATTTAATGTACAGTTTCTACTATAAGGAATTGAAACAACAGTACGGCGACAGGTGTGAACTCTTGTATACAGACACGGATTTGCTGCTGATGGAAATTCGTACAGAAGACGTGTATGAGGACATGGCTAAACACATCCATTGGTACGACACCAGCAATTATCAAAAAGAGCATCCTTTACAAAGTCAAGTCAACAAAAAAAATGCTCAGCAAATGCTCTGGGACACCGAGGAGTGCATTGGTTTAAGGCCTAAAATGTACTCCATCAAATACGGCAACGACGAAATCAACAAAGCCAAAGGAGAAAAAGACTATGTGGTAAAAACAACATATCAAACACTACCACTACAAACAAGCCCTTTTCAAGAATAAAACGTTCATACACCAAATGAATATGCTTCGAAGTCATCATCATAACATCTATGGTATCATCCTCAACAAAACCTCCTTATCACCCATAGACACCAAACGATGGATTTCAAATGATGGTATTCACACTTGTGGCTATGGATACGAACAGTCAGTCTAGACCACAAGTTTCTAAGACCCCCCTATAAAAGAAACTCCACTCAGCAGGTCGAGGCATAGACAGTAGTGTTGTCTATTATGTCAGGGTTTGCCAGGTGGGGCGACCACTTAGCAACGGGGTTCTTGGTAGGAGCGCCGTTGTTAGGTTGGGTGACCATCTTGTTTGGCTTGGTAACGGTGTGCTGACTCGGAGCGCCGTTGCCAAGCTCATCTGCCATCTTGCTTGGCCTAGCAAAGGTGTGCAGACTAGGAGCGCCATTGCCATCTTGTGTGGCATGGCGTTACAAGCTCGCTATTTACCTTGGTCACCGTGTTCGGTGTAGGAACGCTCACTGTGTGAGTCCTGACTTGCAAAACTTTCCACTGCTAGCCCGACTCGAACTCCACTTGATGGATTCTGGGGCCAACGCTCTGCCATCACACTGTCGGGACCAGCTGTCAGTCTTCATGTGAATTTAACGGGCCTATGCTGGCGAGCTAGTCGGTACATCAAATGATGTCTCCGATCGAAAATCATTATTTTTACGGGATGCTGGGAGTGGAATTAAGCCAAAATAAGCCCATAGGGTACCCTGTAATAGAACCATCATTATGACTACTACTGCATTAGAAACATCGGAACTGGAATTTACCGTTCGGGAACTGCGAGGGCTAGACAAGGCATTGCAAACCATTCGTGGATTGCTCGTGGACAATATGGCCAAACTAAAAGAACTCGACGATCGTATCGCTTACGAGCAAACAAAACTCGATCAAGTGGATGATGCCAGCGAAGAGATCACCCGACATCGGATCAAGGAAAGGCTACATAACTTGGGAGACGAAAGACTGACCCGACCTGTCGTACAACAGAGAAGCACTTCGATCGCAAATCAGTTGCATTCGCGAAATCATTGAACAAGTCCTCCAAGAAGATGCCACGTTAGCCAAAGGTTTAAAACGTTATTCAAAGAACAAGGCATCACCATCGCTAGCCTACTGACTGCACTCGGGTTCATCCTTTCCATTTTAGTCGTCTCTCTGACCGGTGGTACGACGCCGAA